CCCTCAAACCCCTCAACCCCTAAACCTAAAACCCTAAACCCTCAAACCCCTCAAACCCCTCAAACCCCTAAACCCTAAAACCCTAAACCCTCAAACCCCTCAAACCCCTCAAACCCCTCAACCCCTAAACCCTCAAACCCCAGGCGGGCGACCTCTCCGGTGCTCTCCCCGACTGCCCCGCCACCATCTGGAATGCCGATGACATCGACGTCCAGAAGCCTCCAAGGGGGTTGAAGAAGGGATGTCTGTAGATTTTTTTTTTTTTCGAGGTTTTTTGGGTGGTGTTAGAAAAGTTGAGGGTGTAGTAGTGTTTTGGGAGTTCGCAGGTTTAGGGATGTGCAGGGTTCATGGTTTGTGTTGCTAGGCTTCCTGGAGTCTCTGATTCTTGAGAATGTTGTGTGTGAGCTGTCCTCGCTGAGGGGCCAAGGGACGTCAATCTCCAACGTCATGTGTAAATTTCGCTTGCTTGCAATCAGTTTTCCAATATTAGGCAGGGGAGTGCGGCATGACGGTGGCACCGCACTCAACGAAGCTACCACAGTCATGGGATACCGAGTCTGACCAACTCGGCGGACCTGCAAAGTGAGACTGAACGTAAACGAGCATCTAGCGTCCTTGCTGTAGATGATCATCCTCCTTGTTGGTACCTGCAGCAGCATGTCACTGCGTGCACATGTCAGGACACTCATCTTGCCGAGGGCTTGCACGTGTACCCATGCACGGTTGCAGCCATCTGAGCTGCTCTCACACATCCAGCCAGTCACTTCGCAAAGCAACCTAGCAGCATGTAAGCAAAACCAACCATGAGTGCGAACATCCTCTGAGAAAGTGTATGGGCGCCTGGCTTTAAGCGGGAAACCAAGGAACCAACGTAGTAACCCTAAGAAGCCCCAAAACTTAAAGGAGCCCGCCAACGGGGTGACCATTTGGAGGCTCCCTCCTGTCAACAAGACCGCACCGCTGATCATCGACGCCGCCGAGCTTGCGGACTTGAACCTGGGCAGCTACACGTAGGAAAAATCTGGCCCGCGGAACTCACCAGCTTCGATATTTCTTCCTTGTGAGATCGCAAGATGGGGTTAAGTAGGTTTTGGTTGGGCTGGCGGTTAAGAGGGATTTTCGGACCTTTTCTCCCCTGATGCAGCACAAACAACTCCTTTACCTTGCGCTTCAATTCAAAATCCCAAACCTAACCTGACACCCTGGACTCTACACCTTAAGCGCTAAACTCACACTCGGAACCCTAAACGCTACACCCTAAACTCGACCCCAGAATCTTTGAGCTGGCATTCTTCGGTGCTTTGTTGACTTCGTAGCATCACTCCGAGCTTAAAACGAGAGCTTCGACGAAGAAGGCGAAATTACAGAACAGTTAGCAGGTTGTTGACTGTATCTATCTATCTACTTACCTGCCTATCTATTGTCTATCATCGTAGATCCATCTATCTGTCTGTCTATCCATCTATCTATGTATCTAAACGGCGCCAGCCCCGAAACCCCCAAAGAAAGCACAGGAAGAAGGGCGCAGAGAAGGAGTGGTTCCTGGCCCAGAGAGAGAAGATCATGGCACAGCTGCAGGAGTCAGTGGGGCTTTGTGCTTCGGCCGTAGTTTCAGACGTGAAGGGTGTAAGTGTGAGGTTTCGGGTTGGGGGGCTTTAGGGTGTAGTGTATAGTATAAGGGAGTCAGCCACGTATGGAAGTATCGTAGTCGTCGTGTCTTTGCGAGCACTCTGCAAGAGTTTGAAAGGACTTTACAGCTTCTGGTATGTGATTGCAGTTTCGTTTATGGGTTTATCACTGTAAGGTGTCATTGTCGGCAGAGCACCAGGTTTTAGGGTGCAGCATTGCGGGTTGCGGGGTCGTAGTGACGTAGTGGTAGTGGTCGGGCAGTGGTAGTTGTCGTAGAGGTGAAACCCTAAACCCTAAACCCTAAACCCTAAACCCTAAACCCCTAAACCCTAGCAGCAGTAGCCGGTGAGGAGCACGGCGCCATCTGGTTCCGCAACTTCGAGTCGACCAAGGAGCTGGCAATGGGGTTGTCTGGGGGGCCAGGGTTTAGGGTTCGGGGTTTAGGGTTTAGGGTTCAGGGTTTAGGGTTTAGGGTTTAGGGTTTAGGGTTTAGGGTTCAGGGTTTCGGGAAGGTTCTAGAAATTCTGCGAGCGTTCCACATGGATTCTAGAGAGTATGAAGTTCTACAGGGTTTTTGGGGCTGGTGGACAGTTGTGGGCTTGGGAATTTGGGGTTTAAAGGTTTCGGGTTTAGGTTTCGAGTGATTGAGCATTATCCACAATAAGTTGATAACGAGGAATGCACCTTAAGACCGATGCCTTAGAATCCGAAATCCTTTAGGTATTCCTGGAGCCTGTCCATGAGCAGTATCATTCCCTTATGGTCACCATCCGACGCACCCTCGAATTCCCCGAAATCCAAAGCCCAACACCCAACACCCTCAATCCATACGCCCGAGACCCTAGACTCATTCGGACCCCTATAGCGCGTCTGCGATGGCACGATGGGACTGCCTCAAGTTTCAGGGTTAAGGGTTTGGCGACAACTTCCTTCACCCCAAGCCCTAAAACCCAAACCTTTATACCCTGAACCCCAAACCCTAAAAACCCCTAAACCCCAAAATCCCTAAACCCTAAACCCTTAAACCCGTAAACCCTAAACCCTGAGACCCCTATCTCCAACCTTGAAAATTGAATGTTTGACCTGCCGGTTTGCGCTTCATGAAGTCCAAAGCCCCTAGTAGGGTTTAGGGTTTAGGGTTTAGGGTTCGGGGTTTAGGGCTTCGGGTTTAGGGTTTGGGGTTTAGTCTTGGACATTTTCAGGTGGGTAGTTACCGTCATAGGAGCCTTATAGAAGGTGTACATACATCATAGAAGCCTTATAGAAGCCCTANNNNAAACTCCCCACTTGTAGGTTCCTTTAATTTCGGGTTGAGGGCCAAAGCCCCAAACAGTCTACGGAAAGCCAAAGAACCTTGGTAGATCCCTTTCGTAAAACCTTCAGATCCGTCTTCCTAAATATCCATTCGCGGCTTCTGGCAGCCCTCAGCTCTAAACCCTAA